CATGAATCCTCAAGTCATGTTGACTGTAACACCTGAGTATGCTGGCCACATTTACTTTGTGCAATTGAAAAGCTGGTAGCACATTTTAAAATCTTTTCTTGCTTGTTTTGAGAAGGACTGACTCAGAGTGAAGGACATAATGATGCAAAGAAACAGTATTAACAAGAAATGCCCCTGTCGGGAAGGACAGTGGAAGAGTTTTTTTTCTTTTTTCTTTTTCTCAATAACAAGCCTTAATGATTATGACATGCATTTTGGACTTAACGGCGGATTTATCAAACTAATTCAATCTTCTCTTTTACCATTCTTATCACCTTTGAAGATGGGCTTGTTTATATCAATTCTTTGCATCTGCTTCAGACTCCCTTTCGACTAGTGGTGCCCCGGGGGGTTTTCACCAACAAGTCTCTCTCATTGATTCGTCTCTGCTTACCGTCGTCTTACAGTGCCCGTGAGGGTTTTCACTAGTAAGACTCTCTCATTTTTTTTCTTCTTTATTTTTCTTTTTCTTTTGCTTCTTGTGCGAGCAACTTGACAGTGTTCGATATCGCGTGATGACCGTTGCTCTTTGCATGCTTCTCTTGGCATTCTTGAAGGCTTATCACGAGGTCTTATGGGGAAGGTTTTTGGATAGGTTTGGAAAGAAAGGACGTCATGAAGGCTCAAAAATAGACTCAAAGTAAAGGGGGTTGTAGACTTACAACTCTTGGAATCGGCCCTTTAAAAAGTGAAATAAAATCTTTGCCCCAGTTTCAGCTATTGGAGATTTTTGGATTTTTTTTTTTTGAATTCTTATTTGGTTGGACCAAACCGTGAGGCTGCCTACGTATCCCTTTTTTTAAGGAATCAGGTCGAACGTAGTTCAAACATCTGACCTAACTTTAATTTTTCTTTTTGTTCCTCTATTTTTTTTCTTTTCTTTTCTTTTTCTTTTTTCTTTTTTTTTTCTTTATTTCTTTTTGTTTTTTTACTTTTTCTCTTTTTTTTTTTGAACCACTTTCCTTGCACTGCTTTGTTCCTGTTCAAACAAAGAAAATATTGTTAGTTTTTAGAAAGTGGTGGTCGGTTTGTGGCCTTGAGTTTTGAGCAGCTTGGCTTTTGCTCAATCAGCTTGAGTCTGTTTCAAGAGACCTTTGCTCTGCATCAACCCTAGAAGGATTCGAATGATCCATTAATTTATAAATAAATATATAAAAAAGAAAAAAAAAAGGGAGGGGGGCAGCTTTACTCATTTCTTCACAACCCAACTATTGAACCGAAAAGCATGAAAATCTTCTTACCGCCAACACTATACATTTGTGCCCACTTAATTCCCATTAGCCTTAGCCCAATGCTTAGGTCCAAATTTTTATCCGATTTAAAATTCTTATCCAACAGTGCTACCCAAGTTATTTTCCTAATCTTCAACTAAACCGAGAACACAAGATCAATTAATAAATAGATTTATTATTTGGCCAACAATTCAACCACCATAGAAACTAATTGAACCTTAGAATTAAGAAGGATTAAACATGAAATAAAATATAAATATCATCTAAGCAAGTGGACGGATTATTTCAAACACATAGCAACAGGCTATTCATTCAACAACTTTATGAACATAAACTAAAGTATTACTAAAAGAACTGGAGAAGAAGATAAACCTCAAGTGATGATTTCTTTCTTTTTTGAAGCTCGATCAAGCAGATAACATTGGTTCCAAAGTTTGCCAAAAGGGAAAACAAGCGAAGAACCTTAGATCGAAGCTCGATAGCGACCTCGACTTTGACTCAAAAACTTTGACACGACTCGGCAACTTTGAATGGTGTTTGGGGGGCTGTTTCTTGGTGGAATTTATAGCAACTTTCAGTTGTTGTTTCGGCTCTTTTCGGGGCTGACTCGGCAGCTGTTTTGGGAGGTTTTCTTTGTGGAATTTCGGGCTGTTTTTAGGTTGGATTTGGTGCTGATTTTGGGACAGCTTTCAGGGCTTTTGGAGCTGGGTTTACTGCTGATTTTCAGCTGGAGTTTTGGCTGGTGAAAGTGGCTTTTTGTGGTTGTGATGGTTAGTTATGGAGGAAGGGAGGTGAGCTGCTGCTATGGAATTTTAGTGGGAGGTCCATGGTAGTGGAAATGTTGGTGGGCTGCTGATTTTTGGAGTTTTGGAGGTTGTTTCAATGGTGGACAATGCAATCAGTACGTGAGCTTGAGGAGACTCTTTTGTTAGAGATAGTGGTTAGGTGGCGGTTGATCTTTCAAAGTGAAGGAGAGTGACAATGGAGATTTTCATTTTGGAGAGGTGCGGCGCATTTTCTTTTGTCAAGCTCCTGCCGATTTTTCTTTTGTTATTTTTGGATTTTTAGGTCTTAGCTAGGTCTAGGTCTAGGTTGTGAAGAAGAAGAAGGGTCCTTTTAAAGTGTTAGGGTTTTATGGGTATTGGGCTTGGATCTATGGGCTAAGGGTAATTGGGCTTGGATTTAGGGAATTGGGTTGGACCCTGTCTTTTTGGGTTTGAATCTAGGCTAGGAAAACCAAATAGTAAAATGTATCTATAAAATATAAAAATCACTCTAAATTAAAATAAACTAATATAAAACTAAATATTAAAAGTGAAACTAATTTTTGTATTTTTAAATGTTATAATACTATAAATATAAATATACTAATTGACTTTAACCTAAGGATGAATTTTTTTTTGTAATTTTTATTTTTTGTTAAAAATAAAGTAAAAGAGTCAAAACTATTTAGAATAGCGATACTAAACCTAAATTAAATATTTATGCTAAAATGTGTAAAATCTTGGGGAGGGTCAAAAATTACATGTCTACATCGATCTCTCAGCCGATATTGAAAAAGCAAAGACTTTGGAAGAAGAGGCTGCCGCTTTGCTTTTTGATGACGAGGATTCAGCCAGTGGCTCCAAGAGCGGAGAAGACGAAGATGAAGTCCCCGAGGGGGAGGTTCCCGAGGACGAAGCTCCCGAAGGTGCAGCTGCCGAAGATGTAGCTGCCGAAGATGTGGCCCCGGAGTAGATTTAAGTTTCTTTATTTTGTATTTTTGTGCAAGTACCCCTCGTGTAAATATATTTTGTAATCATCTCTTGGAAATACAAAAGGACCTCTTTGTTTCAATTTTAACTTGTGTTGAATTTTATTTTGTCCTTATTTGTGGAAAATTCGATTGCACAACTCAAACGATCAGTTCGAGTACTGGGTTTGGACCCAGAACATAATAAACCCTTAGGTTTTTATCGATCAATATAATACCCCTTAAGATTTTTGTTAATCCTCAAGCTAATTTTAAATTGATTTGATGCGAGCTCGGGATATCGGGACTCTTGAGTCCGAGTTTAGTTAGAGCAAGGTCTCGAACTCTATATATTTTGGCCCTTAGGCTCTTTTAGGTCGGCCCTTAGACTCTTTTATATCGGCCCTTAGACTCTTTAAGTTGGGCCGATTCGGCCTCTAAAGCGGCTATAATTTTTCTCCATTTTCGGCTAAAAGACTTAGTGAAAATTTATCTATGCCTTAGTATGTGTTTTTTGTACCCATTGGGTTTTTTGAAGGTTCGACGGATCAGGACCTTATTAGTAATTTGTTTGTATAAACATAATCGAATACATCTTGAGGTTTTCTCGAAGGCTGATATTATCGAAGCCTCTAAATTATTCGGGGGATGATTTTATCGAAGCCCTTTATCTTTGATTTTGCCGAGGGTAGCCTGATTTAACCGATTTTTTCAAAGTGTTTGAAGGCCTTTAATTTATGGCGGAAGTTGGACGTCTCTGTCACGACCCAAACCGAAGGGCCGCGACGGGCACCCGGTGCCTTACTCAACCGAGTACCAACGTAACATATCTTTCTTATCATACTATCATGGGTAAATGAGCTAGAAAACCCTTCATGAGATAACAAGAATAAAACATAAGGGAATACTTAACGTATGATGACCCAGCATGATATACAAACTTATACATGTGACATACGGGCCTATAAGGCCGACATGACCATTTGTAAACTCAAAACATAGGCCGACAAGGCCATACAAGTATCCATACACCTGACATCTGTCTACAAGCCTCTAAGAGTACATAAAATCATAAAGGTCGGGACAGGGCCCCGCCATACCAATCAATACATATCCAAAGCATACTGACCAAATAGGCAACTCCGGAGCAAGTGGAGTACACCAACACCTTCACTGAGCTGATAGCCTATTAGGAGGAATGTCAACCTGTCTATCGGGACCTGCGGGCATGAAACGCAGCGTCCCCAGGCAAAAGGGACGTCAGTACGAATAAAGTACCGAGTATGTAAGGCAGGAAAGCATAAATAAGAACAGTAATGTAAAGAGAGATAGAGGAGATACAACCTGTAACATCTGAGTGCCTCTGGGGGCTACTGACATGAAATGCATAATACATATATATACATAAACTTTTAAAAACATACGCCTCTGTGGGCATCATCATCATCATATCATATCCGGCCTCAAAGAGGACTCGGTAAAAACGTCCCGGCCATCATAAGGCTCGGTAGAATCGTACCCGGCCACGTGGAGCTCGGTAAACCCAACTGATCAGTGGTTGCACAATAGGTGCCATACCCGGCCGACTATAGCGCGGCTCGGTAGAGTAAAATAGATACATATATATAATGCATGCTCGACTCATGGAATCAAGTTCTAAACCTTTTGGAGTGACATAAGGTCATTGCACCATCGATTAACATTATGGACATCATGGCATCAATATGAACTTCACTAGGACTCAAGGATCATATATGCTTTCTTGGAATAACTTTATAAGGAAAGAATAACATGGACAACCTTGGTTGCTAGGAGTAGATTCATTATGAAATAGCGTATCGTTTATATT